AAGATATCAATTCTTCTTCAGTTTCACTTTTAATTGTGTAGCCTTTGCATGCATACAAGGCGACCGAAAATACCATGGCTTGGATCACGCCCACCTTCATCACTGAAGTGGCATTGGCCATAAATATATAAAAATCGACATTCTTTTATAATTAGGGTATATCATGTCACAGTTGTGAAAATTTTGCCTACTTTGAAGTTACGAAGATGGTTTCGTTTATTTTCTTCTAAAAGCTCTATTGTTTTATCTTTGGTTTTTAGATTTATAGACCCTTTAAGGGCATATTTTTCTTGCTCTGTGTTGTGTGTTTGTGTGTAATGTGAAATAAGAATAAATATCTACTTTCTTCAAAGGCTATCCAATTGACCTAGAATCATTTATAGAAAATTCTGTCATTCTTGGGGTGGACTCCAGTGAGTGTTCCCTTTGTCATGAAGCAAAATGATCTGTGTGTGTTCTAGTCTCTGGATCCTCGCTCGCTCGGTCACTCATGCTCCAAATCAAAGCAGCTCTATAACACGTCACAATATCTGGAGTTTTATTTTCCAGATTCTTCTTCTTTAATATTTTGACAACTATTTTAATTAACATATATATACCTGAATTCATTTTACTATTTCAGTATATATACAAAATTGACTGGGGTTTTCCTTGGAATTGCATTCCTCTGTAGATATATTGGGGGGGGGGGGGTAGTAGCCATTTTTATAATATTGAGGCTTCCAATTTATGAACATGATATGAACCTCAACGTATTTGTGGCTTGTAACCTTTATCATAATGTTCTGTAGTTTTCAGTGTAGAGGTCTTGCAAATTATTTTTCTATTTAATCCTAATAGTCGAGTTTGAAATAGTTTCTCAGACTGTTCTTTATGGAGCCCTGGTAGCCTGGTGGTGATGTGCTGGGCTGTAGTTTGAAATCTCGAGATGCTCCCTGGGAGAACGATGAGGCTTTCTATTGCTCTTCAGAGTTACAGCCGCGGAAACTCACGGGCAGTTCTGCCCTCTCCCATGGAGTTGCTGTGTGTTGGCATTGACTCCATGGCAGTGGATCTGAGAGGTTTGGAGATCGTTCTTCTCCGATGGAACCCTGGAAGGTACAGATTTTGTTAATGGATGTTGTTCCGGAAGAACTGAAAATGAAGGGTCCATCATCTCAATTGGTGGTGGGCTTTCTTGAATTTACTAAAGGCTTTAATGGCTAGGTTTCCAGTGGAAAAAAGAGCCATCACACGATGAGGCAGAAGAGCCACTCAAATTATTATTGCTTGTTTTACGTCAATGTATCCCTATTAAAAATGCTCCCACTTGTTTCTCTCCATTAATGTCTCAATGCCATATTTCCATCACAAGTCCGTTTATAATGTTTTAAAATTTCCATCGTAATTTCTTCATTAATCCTAGATTGGTTAAAATGATGTTGCTAAAGTTTTAGACTGATAGGAATTTCCCCTTTATCTGTCTGAGATGGCTTCCGACATAATTCCTCTGTAGTCCCAAATTGAACTATAATGCCCACCCTTGGAAATGGATTGTGACTTTCTCACACCACATAGTATCAATTTTGACAAATGCTTTGGATGCACATGAAAACAATGTCTGTCATGTGATGTGTCTCCCCCTGCATACCTTGTGGCTTTAGCGTTTTTTTCTGACTATTTTCCCTTCGTAGTTTGATTAAAATTCATCTGGGCATCGTTTTAGTACTATACCTAGTACTATCCATAGCACGAAAATCTGTAACTTGATGCAATTATTCACTTTTGAAATACCCTCAGTCATTCTTTTTCCCCTCAGCCATTACTTGGGTCTCTTCAGCCCGACAGGGGCTCCATGTTGTGTGCTGGACTCTTGCAGCATGTGCGTGTCTGTGTTTCTATCCCCGTGCACGCCACGGAGAGCTTCAGTAGTGTCTGCTTCTCCATCTTTCCTTTCATTAATGCTCACTCGTCTAGCAAGGACCTTTACTGCGTTTGTAGTTTAAGTTATTTTCTTGTCTGCTCCCTTTGTCAAAAAGTGACTCCAAATGACTGGGAAATTTATTTGTTGTGTACTGATTATTGCTATTTAAAGCCAGTGTTTGGAAAATGTGTGGGTGTGCATTATTCTTGCATGTGCTTCTTTCTACCATTCTCTCGGCCTTCTACCTTTGTGTGTCTAGTGATTTTTGATCAAATGTCAGACATTGATTTATATGGTAGCTGACAACAATATGATGTTACGTATCTAAATACCATTCCAAAACACCCACTTTGGTCTTATTATTGGGAAGAATATGAGTTTGGGGAGGATGTTGGACGTGGAGAGAAGAAGAGGGCTGGATCAGCATTTTCTGATAATATTTGGGATATTTCATCTATTTAAACTTTCATTATTTATTTTCTGTGGCTTGTTTCCACTCTTCTATCCAAGACCGTATCAATCTACTCTTATTCAAGAATTGAAAGCCAAAGAGAATGCATTTTCAAACAATTTGCTTGCTGTTTACAACAGCCTAATATGTATGCATCCTCTCTTCTCGGAAGGAAGGGGGGCACAAGAAGCTCTAATGGACTTGATTTCCTTGGTCAAGCCTGGGCGGAACATTTTTGCATAGAGATTTGCAGGAACCTTACCTGCTGCATTTTAATTTCCACAGAAGCTGAAAACATATGTGAGCTGAATACAATCTCGAGTGCACCCTTCAACCCTAATCTTCAAGGGAACCAGGAACCGAATGGCACCTTAGCCCACTGTGGGGTGAACAGGCCAGGCCGAATGGACTGTGGATTAGCCGAGTCCCCTGTTGCTGGCTGTCAAGTTTTATCTTCTGGAGATTTTTGTCAAGGGAAAGAGATCCAAACCCTAGCATACAGGTCGCTCTGCCCTGGCTGGGGAAAAGATGACAGAGCGGGCCGCTAACAGCAAAATCAGCTGTTCAATCATATTAAGAAGTGTTACACAGTCATCACCACAATCAGTTTTAGAATAATTTCTTCGTTTTTGTCCTTGTCATTATTAGCTCCCTCTCCGCCCCCCAGTCTCCCGTGCCATACCCCTAAGGGACCATTAGTCCAGCTGCTGTCTCTGTAGCTTTACCCACCCTGTATTTCAGACACAGAGAAACATTGAAAGAAACCAAAAAGCAACAACAACCAACCCAACCCCCTAATAATGATACCAAATTAAAACAGATTAAAAACTTCAGTTGAAAACAAAGCACTAAATATGGAAAATTAGAACAAATTTAAATGGA